AAGACCGTGAAATGTCGATTCGTCGCCGTTCGCAGCAATTGGGTTTGTGTTATTCGACCACATGGAAGATTTTACGCAAAGATCTTGGTGTAAAACCGTATAAAATACAGCTCGTGCAAGAACTGAAGCCGAACGATCTGCCACAACGTCGAATTTTCAGTGAATGGGCCCTAGAAAAGTTGGCAGAAAATCCGCTTTTTTATCGACAAATTTTGTTCAGCGATGAGGCTCATTTCTGGTTGAATGGCTTCGTAAATAAGCAAAATTGCCGCATTTGGAGTGAAGAGCAACCAGAAGCCGTTCAAGAACTGCCCATGCATCCCGAAAAATGCACTGTTTGGTGTGGTTTGTACGCTGGTGGAATCATTGGACCGTATTTTTTCAAAGATGCTGTTGGACGCAACGTTACGGTGAATGGCGATCGCTATCGTTCGATGCTAACAAACTTTTTGTTGCCAAAAATGGAAGAACTGAACTTGGTTGACATGTGGTTTCAACAAGATGGCGCTACATGCCACACAGCTCGCGATTCTATGGCCATTTTGAGGGAAAACTTCGGAGAACAATTCATCTCAAGAAATGGACCGGTAAGTTGGCCACCAAGATCATGCGATTTGACGCCTTTAGACTATTTTTTTGTGGGGCTACGTCAAGTCTAAAGTCTACAGAAATAAGCCAGCAACTATTCCAGCTTTGGAAGACAACATTTCCGAAGAAATTCGGGCTATTCCGGCCGAAATGCTCGAAAAAGTTGCCCAAAATTGGACTTTCCGAATGGACCACCTAAGATGCAGCCGCGGTCAACATTTAAATGAAATTATCTTCAAAAAGTAAATGTCATGGACCAATCTAACGTTTCAAATAAATAACCGATGAGATTTTGCAAATTTTATGCGTTTTTTTTAAAAAAAAAGTTATCAAGCTCTTAAAAAATCACCCGTTATCTTCTTGCCAAATATGTATGTCTTCTGCTTATGGTTCAGTTCATTGTATAGTTAAATACAAATTTTCAACATTTAAGGCGATGTTGCTTACCTGAATTTCTAACTATAGCTTATATGTTCCAAATTCAAATGTGACGGGTGTGACATGACTTTGTAACGGACGTGACAGACAGAAAAGTTGAGCATGAATAAAGAAATTAATATTATTGTACCATGTAACTAAATTTATTTCCAAATAAAATCGCATTTTACAATTTTCGTGTATTTTTGCGCAGAAAATTTACAAAAGTACATATTTTAAACCAAATTAATTAATAAACTAATGCTCGGGAATTTTTATTTTAAATTAAAATTGAATACTTTTACTGAACATGTATGTTAAGAATTTTAGTTTAGACAACAATCCAAAATCATTGGACGAATTGTTTTCTTCATTGATCGTGTAAAAAAAAAAAAAAAAAAAATATTGCGATGCGATTTGTGAACAGCCAGAAAGGCCTTTCTGTCACATTTCAGAAATCAGTTACAGAAATAAAAGTTGCAAGATGTGACTACAATTGAGAGAGCGCAAATCGATTTCGAAAATATACTCCAAGTTGCTCGTGCTGCACTAGCAATCTGCAATTCGCCTTTCGGAAATAAAAAGACACGTTCGAAAGACACTCATCATTGCAACTGATTTCTGTCATTTCTCAATTTGACAGCCTTTTCGAAATATATTGCATTACCAAGTCTGACAGGCTCTCAAGGTAAATTATGAAATCTAGTGCTTCAGCGTTGAAAGTTGATTTGTTTATTCTTACTTTATAGAAATAATACACTCAAATTTGTAAGTTTATGTATCTTCATTTCGTTCGGTATCGATTAGCGTGGAATGAGCCATATGCATTATATCTGCATATCGTCGTTTAAAGTACAAAGCGCGTATCGTCATTCTGCGAAACCGCGTAACTGACATTTGCTGCCAAAAATTGGATTTTATTTTTCTTTTTTTTTTACACATACGCGGTTTTGCATTTTGTTGATACGCAATTTTGTACTTTAAACGACGATATGTATGTGCATATTAGGTATCCCTGTAAAACTAACACGGTATCTCCTGTCAGCAAACAAGCATTCAGAGCATAAGCGTCTCGGTACAACAATAATTTTGAAAATGTAGACTACGTTTGCCTAGGAACCAACATTAACACCGATAATAATGTCAGTGGGCGTGCAATTTAAAAGTAAAGTCCTCGCTCGACGAACGAAAATTGCACTGCCTATATTTATCATCAAATCTGTACTGGTGGCATCATCTGTTGTGACCGAGCTTCGAGTGTTTCGAGAGAAAGATTCTGCGTAGTTATGAATCCCCCTTTAAGCATTTGTGAAGGCGAATACCGGGAACGTTGGAACGACAAGCTAAGGCATAGCACAGGCATCATTTGTTGTTGTTGTAGCAGCATTCAAATTCCCCAAAGAGTTTTTGGGGAGTGTTGCTGGAGTGACAGTCCCTGGCCAGATATAAATCTGAGTCGTTCCGGTTAGATAGACCCGACTGTCGTGGGAACGACGGAGAGGCAGTATTTCTATCTGGGGTTGCTTGGTTGCTATTTGATCCGAATAATCGCTGGACATCTATTAGAAAATAGAGGTTTGCAATTTTTTTGTTTTCATCGATTACGAATGATCAACGCCCAAAATGATCCAGTGATCGACAACGATGGAGGGACAAGCCGATCTAGGCAACTTGCAGTGATCACCCAGTTTTAATGATACTTCGAACGTCTATCTATCTATACTTGAAACACTTATCAATAGAGATAAGACAGGATGTTGGAATACACTCAAGAATATTAAACTATATCTGCAGTTTGCGGAAATTTTGAATAATTTTACATTACGAGTCCCAACTGCCGAGTTTATATTCTCTGCTGGGAAACCCGCTGAGGACATTTGAGAATTGGAAATCGGCGTATATTTAAAAAAAGAGTTTAACGCCCATCCCTGCTTAGTCTTCTATATATTGTTGACAATATTTTTAAGTTATTAAAAAATCCCATGCTAACATTACCAAATACAAGAAACAGATCTTGCATTGACAAGTTGTTAGTATGCATCATTAAATCAATATTTT